ACAGATGAAGGACGCGCTGGCTCCATGAGGACATGATCGACTTCCTGGCTGAGCTCAACATTCTCCACACGGTAGCACCGGGAGAAGCCCACACACGTTTGGGTGCAGTAGAACGACGTCACCAAGTTCTACGCAAAGCTGTGGAGATCTACATGAACGATCGTGGTCTCAAAGATGTTGATGGACTTCGACAAGCTTTGGCCTATGTGCTGCCCCAGGTGAACTCTTCTCCAACGGTGGCGGGGTACTCTCCCACTCAATGGGTCCTAGGCTATCAGCCTGACTTTGCTGGCGACCTGACCAGCGAAGGCCTGAATCCATCTCACTTGGATGGCTCCAACTTCGAGCAGACCCTGGAGAAGCGTTCAGCAGCCAAGGTGGCCTTGATCAAAGCAGACCAAGATCAACGACTTCGACGAGCACTTCTCAGGCGCTACTCTGGCACAAACGTGCTATTGCAGCCGGGCCAGATTTGTTGGTACTGGCGTGATGCACGTGCAGCTGACTTGGTGAAGGTCAGATGGAAAGGCCCTGCTCGGGTTATCCTTCGTGAAGATGATGCCGAAGGAAAGCCGATCGTCTACTGGATCGCCCATCAGACCCAGCTGCTTCGATGTGCTCCTCAACATGTCCGTGCCGACTACCGAGTGGCCTCCGACACCAACATTGGTGGCCTTGAGGAAGCTCGCCGAGTTGTCTCTGAGCTGAAATCCAGAGGGGTCACCCGCTTTGTGGATCTGCAGCGTGCCAACAAAAGGCACATTGAAGAGGTTCAGTCCGACGAAGAGGAGCTCTTTGATGATGATGATGGTGCTCCTGGACCTCCTCGACAACGGCCGAGATTGGACTTATCTCCACACTTGGACTTTGTGGAGCGGCCTGAACTTGATGTGTCTCCAACTCCAACAACGCCTTTGGATGACACTGATCCAGCCATGGACTTGGAGGGCCTGGACTTACCTCCGGCTGGAACGATGCCTGATGCTGCAGAACCTGGTGGACCACCGATCTTGGTGGAAGATGACTCGGATGCAGTGATGCCTCCTCCTGCACACGTGCCTCTATGGCCTCACCTTCCAACTGCTGATGAAACTGAACCCAGTGAGGAGCCATCACGACCACCTTCAGTGCGATCTCCGGCACAAGTGCCTCCTTTGGACCCTGCCACTGTGGCGATGTATGAGCCAGCTGGCCCAAATGACCGATTTCGACTTCTACGACAACAACATGAACGACATGAAACCTTGGTGTTGCCCTCCAGATCAAGAGCTCATCGCTCTCGCTCTCGACATCGAGCTGATCCAGGTGAAGCTGAGCCGACTTCCTCTACTCCGAATCCGAGGCCTGCTTCTGCTGGTGAACCTCATGAGAGCTACGCAGCTACTCTCAAGTGTTCAATGTGGAGGACATCCAAGGTGATGATCTACCTTCTGGATGGCATGTGGACTCTGATGGTGCCTTCGTTTTGAAAGATGTGTTGCATGACTTTTGGGAAGTGCGTGCTGGGTGTTTGATCAGACGCCACATTGCACCCCGACGCAACACCATGAACATCCATGACTACAAGGACGTGCCCATCGAGCCCAAGTACCTTGATCCAATTCGGATCACCATGATGCGCTTTCCTGACGGAAGCCTGAAGATCCACAACGATGATGGCAGCCAGACTTCCTCTACTTCTACTTCCTGGACTGGCGCCACTGTGTACCAGATCACTGGTCAAGCCAGGCGTGAACTGGGCATGTATGCCAACCTGAATGCCAAGAAGATTGGCCGCGACCTCAAGACCAAGGCCAAGAAAACCAACAGCAAGACTGTGGATGAAAGACGCCTGGATGTGGATCAACGAGCTCTGTTTCAAGCTGCCAAAGCGAAGGAACTTCAGTCCTTCTTCCAGAACGATGTCTGGATCTTCGACACCGATGCCAATGCCGACCCCAGTCGAACCTTGTCGGCTCGGATGCTCTTGACTTGGAGCAAGAATGCAGATGGCTCCCCTAGAGCCAAGGCACGGTTGATCGTGAGGGGCTATGCTGATGTGGATGCCCTGAATGGCCAGCTTGAAACAAGCAGTCCAACCACTACAAGACTTTCCAGGAACATGTTGATTTCTTTGTCTTCAACTTTGGGTTGGAAGCTTTGGACTTCGGATATTTCAACTGCCTTTCTTCAAGGTCTACCCCAAGAGCGGAAGATTTGGATTCGACTTCCTGCTGATGCTCTGGCCTTACTTGGCTGTGGACCTGAGACGAGGATGCTTCTTCGAAAGCCTTGCTACGGGCAGTTGGATGCTCCCAGACGATGGTGGCTGGAAGCATGTCGAAGACTCAAAGCACTTGGACTTCGCCAGCATTTGCTGGACCCGTGCTGCTTCCTTGTGTATGCCCAGGACTTTGAGGAGCTCTATGGCCCTGACACTGAGGCGAAACAGCCCTTCCTGGACAGTGGTTTGGTTGGAATGATATGCCTACATGTTGATGACATGCTTGGATGCGGTGATGAAACTTCCAAAATCTACTGCAAGGTGATTGAAGAGCTGCGCAACACTTTCTCCTTCAGAGAATGGAAAGATGGTGATGCTTTGGAATACTGCGGTGCCACCATGACCAAAAGCCCCGATGGCACGATCAAGCTCCACCACAAGGAGTACCTGCATAAGGTCAAGCCTATGACCTTGCCTCGATTGGGTCCTGAACATGAGATGTCCCAATCGGAGGTGACACAGCTGCGAGGGCTCTTGGGTTCTTTGCAGTGGCCTGCCGTTCAAAGCAGCCCGCATTTGCAAGCGAGCACTTCAGTGTACTCCGGCAGTGTTTCAAAAGGCCTTCTCAAGACGGCCATGGACACCAACCGCCTTCTCAAGTTTGCCAAGGAAAACAGTGATGTGGGTTTGACTTTTCCACCACTTGGCCCTGTGGAAAACCTTCGGATGATCACTGCATTTGCTGCGTCATTTTGCAGCAGACCCGACGGCACTTCACAGGGTGGCTACTTTGTTTTGTTGGCCCCGAAGCATGTGCTGGAGACCCAGGAAGATGTGTACCACATCCTGGACTGGAAGTCCTTCAAGCTGCCGAGAGTTGCACGTAGCTCTCTATCTGCCGAAGCACAGTCGGCAGGATGTGCAGCAGACGCCACCGAGTTTGCCTGCAGGTACTATGAACATCTTCTTCAACCTGATGTTCCCTTGGCGACCCTGCTCAACCTCAAGTCGAGCTTGGCACCGACCTTGGTGACAGATGCCAAGGCACTTTTTGACTCTTACCACAGAGAGAGTCTGGTGTCAAATGTGACCGACAGACGGTCTTCTTTGGAGATCCGCGTCGTCAAGGAGCAGATCTCTGGACTTGGAGGTGGACTCAGATGGGTTTCATCTGACCGTCAGTTGGCTGATGGAATGACGAAGGATAGCATGCGACAGCAGCTCGCAGACAAGCTGCGTCATGGTCGCATCAAATTCTTGTACGACCCCAACTATGTGGCTGCGAAGAAGAAAACCTTGGAGGAGAAGAAACAAGAATTGGAATCCACAACGAAAAGCCGAAACACCAAGAGGAAGAAACCGCAGTCTGAGCTGCGAATCATCAAGGAGGAGCTGGAAGCTTCTGAAGATGTAGAAATGATTGAGAATGACCTGGCGCCAACGAATGCCCTGGTTTCTGACTTTGAACAGGTTCCAACGAATGACCTGACCCCAAAGAATGCCCAGTTTCCAAAGAATGACATGGTTACACAGTATGCCAAGGTCCCTGCCGAGACCTACTTTGCACAGTCCGCCGACCCCATTGAGTATGTGGACATGGTACAGAATGCCCTGCCGCCTCTAGCGATGGATGCCCCTGTTGCGAGATGCTGGTGGAAGAATTTCTTCAAGCTGGTGATGGTGATATGGTGGTTGATGAAGCTGCCTGGTGCTTCTGCCGCCCCTATGGCGATGTGCCTTACCGAGCACGAGGAGGTGAAGACAGAAAGCTCAAAGAGCTGGGAGTCCATCTTCTTGGTGCTGGCCATTTTGGCCCTATGCTGCGCTGGCATCTATGTCTGGAAACTACGAGCTGACCAGCTGCGACTCCAACGTCAAATTGACAACCTGGAGGGCGAGCTGCATCATGGCAACCACAGGTCCAATGTTTTGGTGGTGATGTATGATGAGCTGCGTGGGTCCTATGACCGCCGGACCACTGCCTATGACCGAGCCCGCAGAGCTTTCGTGGAACAGCGTGCTGCAGCCCAAGAACTTCAAGGAGCTCTGGCGCTGGCTACGCAAGACCTGGGTGCTGGATACCAAGCACAGTTGGACGTGCGACAGCACGTTGGTCGATGTCCGCTTGGTGACGAGATCCACATCCAGGATGGAAGCTCCGTATGGCATCGCAATGACGAGTGCGATGAGCTGTACGATAGTGGCCGTGAAATTAGGATTTTCCAGCCGTGCGCGATTTGCGCTCAGCAGGATTTAGTGGTTCCTGGTGACGATGCCACCAGATTTTTCGATGAGCATGGTATGCGTGTGGTAAACGCTCCACCTGGGATGCGTTTCAACCAGCTGGAGGTTGTACAAACAACTTTCCCTCCGTGTGAAGTTGCATGCCATGCACCTAGCCTGAACATCTCCTTTTCACCCTTTTATTTGCCGACCACCGCCGCTATTGGCCCAGGGTGGGATCTTAGATGCCTACATGGCTATGCGAGCCTGAAAAGGCGCACCGTGCTGTTTGCGGCCTGGCACCTCGTGCGGCTGGGCTGGGAGCTAGGTGGGAACTTCCCTGGCTTTTGCAATATCATATATAATATACCTCATTATGTTCCATCATCTTTGGATATTTATCCCATTCTATACCCATTCTGTACAGATTCTATACCCATCAATGGTTTATCACCATGATATTCGATTCAATATGCGTGTATATATATATATACATACATATGTAAAACCACATATCACACATCTCATCCGATCTCCCCCATCCATCATTGCTATGCCGCTCTGCCTCTGCTAGGTGGCGCAGACAAAGATCTGGTGCTATGGTCCCGAGACCGACGGTGCCAACCTGGTGGTGGATGCAACGGTGGGTGTGCAGTACCTCATCGAGATCAAGGACCGATGGGGCGAGTGGTTGGATGGGAAGTGAAAACCATGTTGGCTTCTCTTTTTTGGGAGTTCTTGTTTTTTTGGGGGGAAGAAACCAAAACCATTTTTGGTTGGAAAAACATGGGGATTTTGGTTGGAATCATGTGGCGTTTGGAGGTGCTGTTTGGACATCCGTGTGGAAACCGGAGAAATTGCGTATAGCCCTATGAGTGGGATGATGTCTATCATGACTCCCAGTCATTGTTGGTTCATATGGGATGGGTTATGGCATTGGCTTTGCCATATCACTTGGAGGATCATTGCACTCAGTAACCTGGTTAGTACGTCCCCAATAGAGCTTTATGACATGGGGTGAAAACCACATTATCCCTTAAAATCTTTGGGAAATCCCCATCACAAATATGACCAATATCTTTGTCGGATGATAGCTTGGGGTTTATGTAACATATGGTGGTTTCCTAAGTCATGGGGGTACCCCCAGACATCATCCATTGATAGATGGATTTTCCATGAAATAAACCATCCATTTGTAGCGGACATCATCCTTGATGAGCACGTTACGGAGCAAGGAGCACGTGAACAGTGCCTTCCAGTGGGCCACCAAGGTCGGGGGGGTAGGTTTTTGAGGAAGACATGTGGATTTAATGAACCAGTGGGATATAGTACCATCTGGTAAATTAACATAGCTATGGAAAATCATCATTTTTAGTGGGAAAACTCACTATAAATGGCCATTTTCAATAGCTATGTTAAATTACCAGAGGGTAAGGAGAAAAGAGGAATGTAAAATAGGGATGATATAGGGATATCCCATCGGGATGTCCCATAGGGATATCCCCTTTTGTAGTAGGGAAACTTTATGATAAAATGAACCACGTTTTAAGGGATATGAATGGATATTTTCCAGGTGACGGCTGGGGGTTGGAAGACTACCCTTCTCTCAAAATGAGTGCTGGGACACAATGGTGCGAAAATGGGGGATGGCCTCTAATTTATGGCGGTTTTAGTAGGGGACATGAGCATTAACTAGTGGGTGGAATGAGGTAACCTATTTTCAGACAAACCCACATCTATAACAGATATCAGCAACAAAGGTGGAACATATCTACCATATGTCAACCATAAATATCTACCATATATCTACCATTATTTGCCAGATGCATGATGTAGATGCTACAAGTGTAGAACATCGAAATGTCTTCTTTCTCAATTTTGCCTGGCAGTTTCAAATATATTTCATGGTAAACGTTTACATAACTATGGAAAATCCACCCATGTTCAATGGGTAAATCCACCATTTCTATGGCCATTTTCCACCATAAAATCACCATTTTCCATCCATAGCTGAGGATCTTTCACCAGGATCAAGATCTCCCAAGAACCTAGCTGGACCCTTGTAGCCACTAACTTGGGACATGAAACTTGTTTTGTTTCTTGTTTTCCCACCATATATATATATATACATACATACATGTTACGCTGTTATATTTTATATTTTATAGATCCCCACAGGCATGGTGAGGTTCAGCCACTGGTTACTGGGCCTCAAACCAACGGTCAAACAACGGCCGAAAGTTTGCGATGATTCACCAGTTAAAGTGAACATTTACAAAAAACCTTGGTCTTATCAGGTTCCACCATTCAAAGATAGTTTTTTTCCCCCTAAACCAATTTCAGCCGATTACACTTTCGAGACGCAGTGTTTCCACTGGCCGATGGCCCGATGGCATTCGCAGGAAGGACCTTTGTGCGAAGAGAACATGCGAGGTGGGATCCGGTCGCCTTGACAGCTGCAAGGTGTTGTGCTGCTGTTGGTTTTTACATAACTCCAGTAACTAGGTATTTATGACATATGTATATGGAGGTTTCCTAAAACAGGGGTACCCCCAAATCATCCATTTTAATGGGATTTTCCATTGTAAACCCTCCATTTTGGGCTACTCCCATTTATGGAAACCTCCAAAAAGTTAACGGGAATTATACACCAACTTATAACCTTGCACCGGTTGTATTTTTTGTTTACGCCAATTCAGCTAGAAATCAACCATCAATCCCCAGTACTGTTGATCAAATCCCAGTTTTCCATGGTATTTCTATGGTATTTCCATGGTATTTGCAGGCAAAATCCCCGTTTTCCAGGCATCCGCTTCAACCTGATGGACGTGACCCTGCACACCGATGCCATTCACCGTGGCGCCGGACAGATCATGCCTCCCACCCGCCGATGCTGTTGCTGGTCACTGCACTTTTTTTTTGGTCACGAAGATTAGCCTCTGGTAATGGGATATACCCTCTGGTTATAGTGATTTAATGGGATTTAATGGGATTTTATAGTGATTTAATGGGATTTAATGGGATTTTATAGTGATTTAATGGGATATTAATGGGATATACCCTCTGGTAAACATACAAAAAGCTATTGAAAATGACCCATTTATAGTGGATTTAGCCATGAAAAATGGTGATTTTCCATAGTTACGTTAGTTTACCAGAGGGTAAGAGTGGATAATTGTGGTATACTATGTATTACTAGGTAACAAAGTGGTATACTATGTGTACTATGTGTACTATGTGTTTTTGTTGCGGGATACAGTGTGTTTTTTTACTATTTAATCATATTGATTATACAACTGTGGCAAGATAGTGGTATACATCTATTATAGTGGTATACTATGTTACTGAAGAGTGCCTTGGTTCCAAGAATTAGATGATGGGGGCAAGAACCCATGGGTTTGCGGTGAAGGGTTTCCCACCAAAAGCAGTCCATGGATTATTGCCTGGTAGATCTTGGTTTGGTCAGTTCTTTGATGTTGTTGGGTCAATTTGAACCGCGAGGGAATGGAGTACCCTTCGAAACTAGCCTTTCAAAGGGTATCCAAGATTGGCTTTTTGGGGGCTTCAAACGTGTTGTTTTTTGAGTGCAATAAAATGACCCGTACACACATAATCCTCCAAAATCCCCAGAGATGTGGTGAAAAACGAATGGCGTCCGGAACACCTGAGTGGATTGGATATGTCCAAATCCATAGCTATGGAAAATCACCATTTTTCATGGGAAAACTCACTATAAATGGTGATTTTCCATAGTTATGTTAGTTTACCAGAGGGTAACATGATGGGTACAAGGGAAAGGTACCCTCCGCGCAACTCACCAGATTCTTTGGTTACAGTCATCTCAGACTGCTCGCCACTACTCGTACTATCATTTTTTGGGCATTCCCACATTGTGTAAATCCCAATGTCCATCACAATCCCCATATTTCATGCTTACCTCGAACCTCAGTTTCATCCATTCTTAACACAGTCGGGCATTTGAGTTCTACCTTTCTGAGTGAAGAACTGCCAGACATATGGCTTTGTCTGATTTCTGGAGGGGGTCACCGCACATTTCTGGAGGGCTTGAAGCTGATTTCCGTCATCAAAGTGGCTATAAATTGGTGGTAAATTATGCTGTTGGTTGTGTGTCCCACGAATGTACCATTTTCTCATTACATCCCACTATTGTCCCATTGTATCCCATGGTCCAATTCTATTTTCATGATCCAATTCCATTCCCATGGTTTTCCACTTCTATCCTCATTCTTCTCCCATGATATTTCCATGAAGTATCTTCCCATTCTATCAATGGGAATTTCAGGACCAATGATAGGTGTACTGTACCTTTTTTTGAGGCCATATGACGTGGGATTCATCACCTTCATCATCAGCATCAGCATCATCATCATCATCATCATCATCATCATCATCATCATCATCATCAGCATCAGCATCAGCATCACCATCACCATCACCATCACCACCACCATCACATAGTCCTTACACAGCCTGAAAACTATGGTAGGCACCTCTCATTGATGTCCCTGAACTGGCCATTCTATGCCCAGTTCGCCTCCCATCTCCAGGTTTCGCAGCTGAGCTGACGGCTAAGCCAACCCTGCAGGCCTCAGATTTCCATGGGGGACCCAAGATCCTAAAGGAACGGACGTATTAGAATGAATAATTGGGAAATAATTAGTTGGGATATATACATACATACATAACATAACATAACATAACATAGCATAGCATAGCATAGCATAGCATTACATTACATTACATTACATTACATACATATATATATATATATCTATTTATATTTTAGGAATAATTGGGAATTACTTTTATATCTCTATATTTTTTCAAGAAAAAGCGGACAGAATTGGGATATGATTGGATGCATTGGGATACGTGAGTTCACTAGTCACTATTCTCGGATATTGTGTTGCTATTGCATTGGATATTGTCATCATAAACTGGGAATCCCATCGACATTTGGGGTGTCGAAAATTCGGCCCATCCTTGTATTTTTGTTTCCCCCGAAGATGAAATACACCCTGAAAACCAGTTTTTAGTATCGGATTACTTTCGATTTTGGGGGCCAGTCACTTTAGATGCTTGGTTATATCCTTCAATCCCATTAAATCCCATTAGTCATCTCTTTAACCTCTGGTAATTTAACATAGCTATTGAAAATGGCCATTTATAGTGAGTTTTCCCATTAAAAAAGGTGATTTTCCATAGCTATGTTAAATTACCAGAGGGTAGTCATCTCTAAAAATATCCTTATGAAATCCCATGACCTCATCCCATGAACTCCTCGGAAACATCGATCTTCAGCCTGCAGGAGCCTGTCTTCTTGGTGGAGATCACCTGCCCACAGGAGGCCATGAGCGGTGTCTACAACTGCATGAATTTGCGCCGCGGCTGCGTCTTCGAAGAAAACCAGCGTGAGGGAACACCTCTGGTGCAGGCGGGGACGAGGATGATTGGATGATGATGGGAGATGATGGTGGGAGGATGGTGGGAGGATGGGAGCTAGGAACTTTGGCTTCAAAGTTGGAGTTGATGCAGATCTTTCGGTATTTTGCATCAACTTCTGTGCTGAGAATGGGTTATGGGGGCGTTAGCAACCGTTAGCACAACATCGAAATCCGGTGGCTAACGACATCCTCATATCGAGTCTATCACACACCTCTGCAATGGGGCACCATTCATTTCTGTTTGAATACTCCAGTTAGATAGTGAAAAATCTCCGCAGTGAATGGGTTCTAAGCCACCTACAATACCGGGGGCCCACACCTCTAAGTAGGAAAATCAACATCTTCCATATCTGTAGTCCATCTATGTCCATCTATGTCTGCCTGTCATAGTCATAGTCTATCTATATCTAGAAATATGCCTCCCAGAATTGGATCTCCACCCAAAAATAGGGGTAAAAACCACAGACTTTGCCTTCAACCATTGAACAACATCTTTTCAGATCACATTCCCATGTTTTTTCCAGAAAATTCACCAATCTTTGGTGTTTTTTTTGGTGCCCAAAACCCTAGCACCGGTGGTCCACCGCTCAGGTGAAGGCTCACCTGCCGGTGTCCGAGTCCTTTGGTTTCGTGGCGGCGCTGCGGCAAGCCACCAGCGGCCAGGCCTTCCCGCAGTGCGTCTTCGATCATTGGGAGAATCTGCCAGGAAATCCTATGGAGAAGGGCAGCAAGATGGAGGAGATGGGGGACGTTCAATGAGGATTTTTTTCTCATGAATACCATCTGGTTATTTAACAGTTCGCCATGGAAAATCACCAATTTTTAATAGGTAAACCATCTATAAATGGGCCATTTCCCATGGCTATGTTAAACAACCAGATGGTAAATCTTCGATGAAATCTTTGATGGAATCTATGATGGATTAAATGGGATTAAATGTGTTGAAATCTTTGATGGATTAAATGGGATTTATGAAATCTGGATCCCTTTTTCTCAATGAATAGATGAATAGAAATTACTGTAAGGATACTAAACCAAGAGGACTTATGGATTGTTATGGATAGGGAAAAAATGATGGGGACATGTTGATGGTTTATTTTTTTGTGAGGGGATGGCAAGATGATGGTTGTGGATGGGGATGGGGATGGATGGGGGAAAGGTTTTTTCTGTGGACATTGATGGTTAACTTATGGGAGATATGGGGAAGATTCGTGGGTTTCATGGGGAAGTTTGAGTAAGTCTTGTTATGGGGGAAGGTTTGGGAACAGTGAACACTTTGTTGCAGGGTATGAAGGTTTGGCCTTGGTGCAGATGATGGCGCCAATAGCCAGGCTCCAGCAACATGGGGAAATATCGGCTCCCTGGGAAGTGGGTAAAATGCCAGGGAAATGGGCTTTAAAACGGGTTCCTACTAAGGTGTAACCAGCGGAGGACCCTTTGTTGTGGAGACCTTAGGTGTGTTTTATCAATTTTCATTTCTTTTCTGGTGCTGACCCAAATTCGGATGGTAGAGTGGTCTTGATTTCGGCGCTACCAAGAGCTCAGCTGAGCTGAGCACTCCTCTTTCTGAGCTTTCTAGGAGTTGATCTTGGGCATCCGCAAACGCAAGAACTTGAAGGTGGAGATGCCGGCACTCGGTGACTACCTGGACAAGCTGTAAGCCTTTCCGGGAGCGAAGGACGTCCTGGACAGTGACAGTGATGCGCTCGCGATTGGTCTGCGCCGAACGTGCGCAGTAGGTTTGGACTCGCCATTTTTGGGCTGAGTGTTCTTGTGCAGAGGGCTTTGAGTGTCAAACTAAGACCCCGAAAAAGTCGAGAGTGGAGGGGTGGACAGGGAGTGAAGCGGAGATATCTGGCAGAAATATGGTCAAACCCGTATTTTTTTTCTGGATTATCATGGGATTTTCTATATTTTCCCATATTTTCCCATGTTTTTCCCATATTTTCCTATGACTTTCCAGCCCTCCACTGCCTTGTGGCTTGAGCTGCTGCCATTTTGACGGGACGTGGCGCGCCGCGCCGGCGCCCTTGGTACCTGAACTCCGAATGAAATGGTTCCGAGACATACTGTGGATGGTTGCGAAATCCTGCACCACCTGGGATGGTAGAAAACCTATAAATCATGGGATTTCTACGGAGAAACCACCTATTACCTGGTGTAGGATTTCTTCCATCCACCGTATGTACACACACATACATACATATACATGTATCCCTACGGGGCGGACGTTCGCCCAAAGTCTCATTGGGGTTTACTTACGTTGTGGTTTGTTTGGGATTTATTGAAGATTGTTTTAGGGTTTACTTAGGGTTGGTTTATTGGATTTTCTTTAGGGTCTATTTAGGGCTTGTTTAGTTAATTGTCGTGCTATGTATGGTTGTTTTAGGGCTTTATTTAAGGTTCCTTTGGGGTCTATTTAGGTTATTTATGGTTGATTTAGGGTTTGTTTAGGGTTGATTTAGGAATTAGGTTATTTGGTGTTCTTTCAAAGCTTGAAACATCGCAAATTACGGAGGATATCCTTAAAACATGCTTCAAACGGTGATTTTGGCACCATTTTAGGTAAGCGCAAAAAATGCCATGAGACGCAGGACATATCAATATTTTGTATGTTCGTAGTTTGCAAAAAACACGCACCCAAAGAACACAGCGGATTGCAGTCCTGCATGGAATTCCGTGGATTTCGGGCAAACGTCAGCCCCCTAGCGACATATATATATAATATATATAATATATATATAATATATATATATATATCTATAATCTATAATATATATATAATATAATATATATATATACACATACATATACGATATTCGATCTTCGCCAACGTTTTTTTATCTAACGCATTTTTGTGGAGCCCTCATCACCGGGACCGTCTCAGCGACCACCGCAACGAGGCGCCGCGATGGTGCTGCTGCAGGAGAGTGACTTCCTAGTGAGGCGCTGACCTTAGCCTTAGCGTAGCTGGTGATGTGGTGATTCAATGGGGACTTCACATGATTTAGCCATCATTGGATGGATAAAAAAGGGACAATTTACAGGAACCCCAACAAAAATCAATCCATGGGGGGAAAAAACAATGGTTTCCGGTTAAGATGTTCCCCTCAACAGCCTCAAGAAAAATCCAGTGAATTCATCACCCTTTGCAATTGATTGTTATTTGACGTCAATTTGATGGTTCAAACATCACTTTTTGTTGCTGCTTTCAACAGAGCTATGGAAAATGGTCCACGGAAATAGATGATTCTTAAAAATGTGGGATTTTCCGGTTCGCTATCAAAAAAATCACCAGAGGGTAAAATCGTAACTTTCTGTTGGTTAAACGGTGACACCGGCTGGTTTTCCATCAAGGCTGACGGACCTCTATGGCGCGAATCGCGCAGGTGAATCCGGTGTTCAGTGCGGGCGGTGATGATTCGGTGATTTTGCTGGTCATGGGAGTTCAGTGAGCTCACATTTTGCTATGGTAAACTAACATTTATAGTCTATCAATTTATAGTGATCTAATAGGGTTTTGATGGGATTTTCAAGTTGTGATAAAAAATGGATGGTCATGGGATATTACCCTCTGGTAATTTAACAGTTTGCTATGGAAAATGGATGCACATGGCCCATTTAGTTCGATGATTTGTCTATTAAAACTTGTTATTTTGCATAGCAAACTGGTAAATTACTAGAGGGTAACCATTGGAGTTTGGGATGCCACATTTTTTCCTAGAGAGTTTCCTTGGGTCTTGGAATAAACATACCATGGTCAAAAAACCAACAACCCTGACGTCATCGCATCTTTTGGAGGGTCGAAGTTGTGCTTGAAGCATATTGGGGAACCATAAACTTTGGTAAATCTATCCTTAACACGTTTGGGTATGCGACCTATGGGTGTCCTAAATGAAGGTGGATTTTTTCACCAGGATCTGGTTGCTCAAAGTAAGGGGACACTGGGGCACGGCATGGCTTAGCTACCTTCAAGATTGGTAAGATCGATTGAAGGCTGGGTATGCTTGATACTCAAAATGGTCGAAAATTGATATTTCCAATAAGATCTTTTTGCTGTTGACTAGTCGCAAGTTCCTGTAAGTTCTGGATTTGCCCCATCGGGGCAGCCGCCAGGCACAGTCTATGTGTGGATCAAGCGATTCGCTGGCAGGCGATGGCATCTGATCAGCTCCATTTCCAAGTGGAGCTAGACCCCTAAGTCCTGAAATGTGTTGGTAGTTTTTTTGTGTAGAAATGGCTATGGATCAATACCTATACATACCATTTTTAGTGGGATGAACATCCATTTACCAGCTATTTTGGGTTCACTAGGTGCCAGGGTTTTGACCCATCCCCAAATGATGCTCTCTAAGTCCTGAAAAGCCAGTGCATCAGATCTGCATCGGGGTCATATTTTTACCTTACAGGTTAGCCTCTTTGCGGCGGCGGAAGCCCAAAGAACAGGAAGCAGCTGCGGAGAAAGAGGAACCCAAGCGCTTGGGCCCGGTAGGTGACTTTGGACTTTGGACTACAGTGACTACAGGAGACCCATCTATTTTAGAGGGTGAAAATCATGGTTTCATAGATCTTACTGTTAAATCAATTCAGTGATAGGTTGATGGGCTTGTTTATTTTGTCCCACTTTGGTGCAAGAAAGGATATGATTCTGCTGATGTTTGTTTTGCAGGGTGACGGTATGTAATGCTGGCCAATGCTGGCCGTGGCTTTTTGACTGAGCATTGGCGCTTCGCAAACCCACGCGTTGGAATTGCCATGAATTCTCTCTCTCGCTCTCTCTCTCTCTATAGATATACGATTTTATATAATATATGTATAATTGCATTTACAAACAAACGCTATCTACCTGTGTTTCTGAGACGTACAGAAAAAAAACCCTACATAACCAAAGATATTTTTTGAGTCGTTGCTTTCGACCATGTCTGTAAGAATGGTCAAGCTCCAGGTTTAATGCGATGTCATGGGAGACAATTCTCAGACTGTTGGGCAGCTTCATCAAACATCATCAGTATATGAGCTCCAGTGGGTAAGGAAACCCACCGGAACATGGCTGATTCTGCCTGTCTTGGGCCTTTCATGGATCATTTTGAGTCAACTTGTGCTGTACCCAGGTGCTTGGTCCGAGCGCGGTCCAACCGAAAAGGTTCCAAGATTAGCCGGAAACTCAGATCGTAGAGGTCCCGGCGTCCCCGGCATTCCCGGTTGATGTCAAACTTGGTGCCAATGACCCACGAACAGCTGATGTCGTGAAGGTTAATAGGGGATAATCCATGATAATCCAAGTTCTATCCCCTAAAAATGGTGGTTTTCCAATGATCTTTTTCTAGTGAAAAGTACGATCATCCAAGGCAGTAATCAGTAGAGGGTTGATCCCAACTGAGGGCTGGGCCGTTGCGGTTCCTTCCGATGGTTGATCCCTTTCGGGACCCAAACGTGAAGTCCCTGAACATTGGCTGATTTTCCCCACCTTGTATGTGATGATTGATGAATGATTGATGAATGATTGATGAATGATGAATGGCTAATTTTTTTTCACCTGCGAGGCTGCGTGATTGAGGCCAAAGATTTGATGAGGCTCGATGTTGACCGGGATTTTCCAAAAATGGGACACGGAAAAATCGAGTTTTTATCCATTGGGTGGTTCATTCGTTTGGGAAATCCCTATGAAATCGATGTTTTTTTTTTTTCAAAAAATGGGGTGGTTCCATGTGGTTCCTGAAATCTCAGATTGCGTCCTGGGGGGCCTTGGAGTGTTTCCGGCGATTGACAGGTTTCAGCTGGCGCTTGGCAACATCATGCGGCAGCAGATGGACCGGGCAGCCATGGTGTAGCAGTGATATATGGCTTTTGTCTGAAGATTTTTTTTGACTGAAAAGCAACACCCAAAAGACAGAAATGTTATCATCATCCAATGATCTCTACCAACATGGCAATTTGGGAGGTAGACCACCTCTTCACATGCACCCATATTGTTGATCCGAAGACCTCGCAAAGTCAAGCAGTTTTTTTTGGGCAACCCCCAAAAGAGAATCAGAAAGATAGAAACTAGATCCTGCTAGAACAGTGGTAATTTTCACTTTTTCTATCCGATTTTGGGGGTTACCAATACAGAGATGTGTTGGAAGATGATTGTTTTGCGCCAATGGGCGCACTCTCTGCGGAAGGATGGCTTAAAGACCAGAGAAAGATCGAAAGAGGAGCGGCAAAAAGAAAGAGAAGAGAAGCGACAAACTAAGGCCTCACTGCCAAGCCTGACCTTTTTTGGGACTTTTTTGCAGAGGGTAGACCTGTCGCATCACCTGTCACATTCTTGGCAGATGAAATCTGGGATTCCTGGAGTATCCCCTAACTCTGCCGACTCGGTTGAAAGTGCTACAAATCCAATCTTCACTTCAGAGACTCTAGAGACTCTAGAAATCTCTTGGTGAACTGATGATCATTATTACTTAGTGGGCTTGGATGGAAAAACTTCCACCTGGCAGGCCAAGGCCGCAAGCGTGAAAAAAGATAGCGCACAAAAGAAGGACCCAGGGATCAAGATGATTCGCTTGGAGGGTAAACCACCACATTTCCATGACATAGCGGTGAAAATCATTATAAATTATGTTCATACCAGATGCTAGCTGGTTTGTCGACATGGCAGAACCGCAATTTACTGCATAGGTGCGCAACAACAAATTCATAGACTTGCAATTACAAACGTTCAGTCACAAAACGAGATCAACATCCAAATAGTTTTGTTTGAGAAAAGGGTGCCCCCCAAATCCGGTTTCATCATCATCATCATCATCATCATCATCATCATCATCATCATCCCAATCCCCATTCCATTTAAGGGACATCCTTTAAAACCACA